CTCACTAGCTGAGTCACCTTGGACTATGCATCCATCCAGGTATTTACCTATCGTTACCAAAAGCACTGACTGAGAGCTTAGAACAAGCCCACCGCCATGCCAGGTAAGGAGGACATGATGTGAAGCAGCTATTGTGACATGGATCTCACTCAGCATGGGGAGAGGGACCATGACGCCCAGTGAGCATGTGTTTCCCCCCAGTGTTTCCTCCAGTTTCCACCCAAACTAACTCTACTGATTTCATAAATGAGTTTGTAAGCTCAGCCATAAGAAAAGATGAATACTTCTCACTTACATCGACCTGGATAGAACTGGAGGGTATTATGCTGAGTGAAATCAGTCAATCAGAGAAAGACAATTATCATCTGGTCCTTACATGTGGAGTATAAGAAACCATGCAGAGGATCATAGGGGAAGGGAGGGAAAACTGAATGGGAAGTCATCAGAGAGGGAGACAAACCATGAGATCCTCTTAACTCTAGGAAACAAACTGAGGTTTGCCGGAGGGGAGGTGGGTAGGGGGATGGGGTAACTGGGTGATGGGCATTAAGGAGGGCACACGATGTGATGAGCACTGGGTATTATACTCAACTGATGAATTATTGAACACTACATCTGAAAATACTGATGTACTATAAGTTGGATAATTGAATTTAAATTTGAAAAATGTGTTTGAAAGCAAGTTGTGTAAGACACTCAGGAAACAAATAACAAAAAATATTATTTTGGGGGGAGAGGTAAAGTCATAGAAATTCATCTTTGCTCATTTCCCTTCAGAGCACATGGTCATAGTCCACACAGAGCTATGAAAATAGCAACTCCTTTTCAAGCTCCTCGGGCACCGAGCCCCTACAGAACAGTCTCAACATGTTCTCTCCTGGAGAAAGGTGCGTGGATTGCTACAGCCAACTGGTCTACCAGGAGTCTCTCAGCTGCTGTTCCTGGACACACACCTATCCTTCCCAACTTGCCATGGCCACATGGTGTGGCACTGCTCGGCTGACTCCATTTATGTACTCATTTGTGTTGGGGGGCAGTTCTCAGTGACTATGTCTATTCAGAGGTCAAGTCTTTCTTGAGTTGGACTTTGTTCCATCTCCAATTCCACCTACTGAGAGACCCAAATGTGATGGCAAATGCAAGTTTCCAAGCTCCACCGTAGCTACGTGTTAAATATATGGTGTCCAAAACCTGGTTTAAGAAACTCTTAGACTCTGGCCCAGGATTGTTCATTGGTCACACTGAGGTTTTTTAGGTCACGTGAAATCCATCTTAGACAGCCCCACCCCTAGACCTTACCTTAAAGTATACACAATCGCCAGGTACTATTGGATTAGAAACACCAAATCTGTAAGCAAGACTTCCTTAGTGACTAAATCCCCACAGCTGGTGAAGTCCCTACCTTATCCTTTGTTGTCAGTATTTTGTTTGTCGTTTGTTATTGTTATGCTAGTATGTTATTACATTGTAACCCTTTGTTATGAGTAAAGAAGAAAGGAATCTTTCTTACTAAATATGCTGCAGGGTTACCCTATAATTTGATGACAAATAATTAATACTTCTTTGTAAAAAAACAAAAGTAAGAATTACCATGATCAGCAATTAATTTACCATACAATAATTCAGGGAAGTTTTCCTTGTTCTGTCCCATATGTTCCTGGCTCTTTTTCAAGAATACATTCTCGCATGCTTACAGAATAAAACAAAATGTCAAATTAGTAAGATGACAATTTCCACAAAGATGGAGTATATAAACTACCTGGTGGCTAAAAGCAGAAGCAGATTTGATGTGCACCTGTTACTGGGTCATCAGTCATCACTTTGTGGTATATTTGCAGCTGATATATTTATTTTTAAAAATATGGGGAAATGTAAAATTTAAAAATTGACAAATAAAATATGGGCTAATTAATTACAACCATGTTTACTAGGCTGTCAGATGAAAGCGAGGGGAATGTTTGGAATGTTTGTGGTACTTCTCCTTAAAGAACAAATCTGTGAATTCTGCATTCCAGTGATGGCACAGAAAAATTTGACATGTTTACAAAACCCAGGAGGTCAGATGTCTACTATGCAGTGCAGTCTAAACTCAGTGGAGCCCAAAGAAGGAACCTCAAGAAAGCTAAATCTGGCAAAGAAATCCTATTTTAGACTAATTTAAGGATTTTAAATCAAGTATTACTAACTCAAAAGGTAGAAGTGTCTAAAGGGTTTTGCTTGATTTCTGCATTGGGGTCTTTTTTGTTTTTAAGGGTAATGATTTGTAGGATAAAGAGAAAGTGAAGTGCCTTAACAATCCTACAAGGCACATCTTAACTAACCCTCAGATGTTATGTCAAGTAGTAGTTGCTTAAAGACCAATCTCCCTGTTTGGAGCTCTGTTTTCTTAAAGGAAACAACAACAACAACAAAAAAAAAAAAAAAAAAGATGGGGTGGGAGCAGGCAACTGGGAACCAGGATGATCATGTCAGAACAAAACATTCTGGAAAGCTGTCCATGACAAGCCCCTTGCCTCTGCCCACACAAACTACTCCTGAGCAGGAACTGAGAAAACAAAACAAAACAAAACTTATTTTTACTTTTCATAATATTCCTATCCTCAGAGAATGAAGTAATTAGGTACCTAGAGAGATTTTCCCTTAAAAAGAGGGGTGGGTGGCACCTGGGTGGCTCAGGCAGTTAAGCCTCAGTCCTGCTTTGGGTTCCCTGCTCAGCGAGGATCCTGCTTCTCCCTCTGCCTCTGCCCCTCCCCCTACTTGTGCTTTCTCTCTCCCTCTCTCCCTGCCCCCCCAATAAATAAGTAAATAAAAGCTTAAAAAAAATAAAAAGAGGCAGGATGGAATGGGCAAGGGATTGTTTCTGTGCAAAATCCAATGGACATTTGTGGGAGCTGAGCAGATAGAACTAGAATGCACAATTATACAATGTTTATTTCAAGCCAGGTGCTTTTCTAAGTGCTTTACATAATCAAATTCTTGAATCCCCATAACAACCTTGCGGGGTAGGTACTACGATTATCCCCATTTTATCCATAAGCAACAAAGGCACAGAAAGGTTACGTAGCTTGCCTAAGGTCACCCTGCAAGAAAGCAGCAGAGCCAGAATTTGATCCCACTGGCTCTAATGTCCACAGTATACACTACCTTGTGCAGGCGGTCACCCAGTCAAACCTTCATCATGTTCCAAGCCTGTGCTCCACATGGAGGATAGAAAATGGATCTCACACAATCAAGGGAAGAGGTAAAACATGCATCATGTGAAGGGACCTTCAACAGAGGGACGCCCAACCCAGACTAGGGCTGCCAACGGCTCCACAGAGGAGACGATGCCCGTGCTGAATCTAGACACACAGCTGACAACCAGGCAGGAGGCAAGGAGTAGGGTGAGGGGGGAAGAAACCTGATTCAGAAAGAGGGTACAGCACCTGTGCAATTTCCAGGCAGGCAAGAATGTGGATCTTTCAAGGAATGATATCTAGTTCAATAGGTTGGCATGGTGGTACCATGGGTGAGAAAGTCGGGCAATGCGGGGGAAACCCAGGCAATACCGCAGAGGCCAGAATGCCATCGTGAGTGGCCTGTGGCCTGGCTAAGGAGCGTGGCCTCATCTTAAATTCTACAAGAAACAACTGGAGAATTTTACTTTCAGAAATAAAGTGATCAGATCTCATTTCCCAGCTCACTGGCTATCTCACTGGCCTAGACTGGAGAGCTGAAAAATGGAAGTAGGAAGACGAGGAAGATGTTACGTATTCCAAAATTATAACAAGAAAGTGCAAAGATATGCTGGAAGCAGGTGGCCATGAGATGGAGTAAGGGGGAATTGCTTACATCAAGGGCAGATCTACACACAGCAGCACTGTTCAGCTCCCCCTCTCCTCCTTCCCTCCCAGTTCCCTTTCCTATCCCTGCAGACGTCCAGCTCCCAGGGGCCTTCCTAGGGGCTGTGCCCTTAGATTATATCCCAATACCTAACCTTGAAATGCTCCAGGGTCTTCAGAAATGCTCAGAACAGCACCTTCCTGAACCAGTGAAGAAATGCATGCCCTCTCTTCCCTAACCCCTTTGCCCCCCCCCCCCCCCAAACAATTCTTGAAACACTTTGGAAATATTTCTCTTTTTGCTTATTAGAATTTGCTTACATTCCCATCAAGGAGCTTTAGGTCCTAACTGGCTTCTATAAGCCTGAAAGTATTTTGAAAGGATTACGATTCAACACGCAATGCACATTCTTGACCTTATTATCTGCCGCTTTCCTGGTCTGGCCAAAGGTCCTCAGAAAGGGTTTGTGTTTGTTTTGTTTTTTTTAAACAAAGATCCCCGTTTGTGTGAGCTACCGCTGGACCTTGTCCTTTACCTTTGATGCCTTGTAGAAAGGCCTCTTTAAACGCAAAACCTCCTCAGTGGTGTCTTAAAAATTCTTGAATAAAATCATTGCTTTCTTCCCATTTGTAGCAGGGTTGAAATATGACTTAAAAGCAGATGATGTTCAAGTCACCAGCATCTCGTATTCTTCCAAAATAAATGTTGAAATGCTCTACAAATATTATAATATTTAAATAAATTTCCACTTTCCTTCCAAATACCAAGGAGGGATACTTTTTGGGAGCTGAAAACACTGGCCAGCTCTGGGCCTCTGAAAGTTGAGTCCCGGGGAGACTTCTCACATTACAACCTGTTCACATTTTTTTTTCACTTCAAGTGAAATCCTTTGGCATGAATTGCTTTGAACATTAATAGGGCGTATCACTTTTTTAAAAATTGATTCTTCAATAATCTCCAGACTAGAAGGACCAGTTAGGATTTTCAGAACAAAAGACAGTGGGATGCTGGACCCGCACCCCCACTACCCCCTACTACCCCTACCCAACTTCTTGTTTCCAAACCATCCTGTCTCCCCAAAACGCTCCTGAAACTCTCCATGACCCCCAGGCCGTCCCCCCTCCCTCCTTGAACGGAAGCGACAATCCGTACAGCTGAACCGCTTAGATTCAATTTACCTTCACGAAGAGGGTGATGTCGTGCTCCTGCCTCGGGGCCCCCTCTTCTGACGTCTCGCCATCCTCTCCTCCGCCATTCACCGGCTCCGTCTCCTCCCGGCCCTCGACGCTGCCCTCCTCCGCCAGGTGGTTGCTGAGCTCGGCCTCGGTCTCCGCCGCCCCGGTTGGCGAGGCCGCCTTTGCCCGCCCGCTGCTGCTGTCTGGGGGCTCCTCCTCGACCCCGGCTGCGACCGGCTCACCTGGCACCTCCGGGCCGCGCTCTCGCCTCTCCTCCTCGGCCTCCTCCATCTCCTCTTGCGGTTCACCCTGGTCCCCGTCCTCGACAGCTTCCGCCCTCGAGTCCCCGGGGGCCACTTCCTCCGACTCCTCTGTCCCCGACGCCCCCGCCTCGTCGGCGGCGGCGCCCGCCGCTGCACCCCCAGGCTCCTCTGCAAGCTCCCCGGGGCCGCACCCCCCAATCTCCGCCGCCGCGGCCTCGGTGGGCTCGACCTGGGGCGGGGAGTTAAGATCCCCTCGGTCCCGGGGTTCACCCTCGGCCCCGAGCGCCCCTCCCACGTGCCCCGCGGCTTCCATGCCGGCCCCCTGCGCCCCCGGCGTGCCGCCTCCGGGTTCCTCTGGCCCTTGCTCCGCTTTCTCCTTCGCCCCGGGGACCTCGGTCTCCCCGGAATCCCCCTGAATCTCCCTCGAGGCCTCGCCCTGCGTGCCGCGGCCGGAGCTCGCCTCCTCCACCGGCTCTGCGCCGCTCGCCTCCTCTCCCTGGGGGACCTCGGCGCACCCCGGGGCGCCCTCCTCGGTCTCCGCCTCGCCCTGCGCTGCCCTCGCGCCTTGCGTCTCGGCCCCCGGGCCACTGTCCACGCCCGGCTCCGGCTCGCTCGCGCGCCCTGCGTCCGGATCGGTGCCTTCTGCCTGGTTCACCGCGACAGTCGCTGCTGCGCCGGCCCCCTCGCCCCTCGGCGCCTCCGCGGCGCCCTCGCTGGACTCCTGCCGCTCCGCCCTCCGGCCCGCGGCCCCCGGCTCGCCAGGTTTCTCTGCCAGAGACAGTGGGGCCTCAGACGGCCCCTGGTGACCTGGGGGGGGGCCCTCCAGCTCCGCGGACTCGGCCATGGCCGCAGATCCCTGTCCTCCCCTGGAGACCTTCCTTGACCCTGCTGATGGAGCAAGCGGCCCTGGACGAGAAGCTCCGCGCCAGGGGGCCACTGCGCCGGCTCCAAGAGGACGCCCCGCTCAGGACTCGCGGGGCGCCAGGCGGGGCGGAGCGCTGGAACTACGGGGTTAAAATGGGCTCGACCCCAAGACACCGAGACTCTCCTCCCGGTTTAAGCTCTCTGGTATCTTCCTCCACTTCCACAGTAACTGCGGTTCCACGTCTGCTTCCCACCCAGACTCTATCTGACCCAGGTTCCCTGGAGGCGCTGGCCACCGAGGAGCAGAGCGCGGCTGGGGAAGACCTCTTCGCTCCCGCCCCCTTTGAAATGCCTGGCCTGCCGTCCTGAGGCTGACCAGAAGTTATCCGTGCCAACACCATCCCCCTGGGGGTTGGGCGGGGTTTGCACCCCATCCTCTCCCCCTGTTCCGGTGGCCTGGGAGCCTGGCCAATGACAGCCTTTCTCACGGCCCTTGTGGATCTCAGTGAAAAGATTCTGGTTCTATTGGCAGCTGGGTGTTTTCTGTAACAGCATCAAGTTCCAGGGCCATTTGGATCACACCCCTGCCAACACCCCACACTGGACACCCAAATACCTAATCTCCACTTTCCCCCAGGCACCCAAGCATTCAGCTTCTCAGCTGGTACCTAATGCAGATGTCCAGGTCCTACCTCAATGTCCAAGAGCAAGGGAGGTAAATCCTGGAAGAGAGGTAAAGGGGAGGCCACCTACCAATTTTTGCAAGCCCTTCCTGAGAGGTTTCTCTGCCTCATATAGAAGCAAAAGGAGTCTTACTGCTCTGACCAGAGATGGGCTCTGTTGAGCACAAGGGTCCCCTCCTCAAGGTATGACAAGAATGGGGGCCTTGCACAGGGGAGAGGTTAGATCCTTCATCTCCCTGTTTCCTGAAGACTCTAACAGTCTATGTTTCAAATTCTAGATTTTTCTAAACCCATGGCCAGTGCTTTACCTTGTTATGTGTTAAGGGCTTGGGGAGGTGGGGGTAAAGAGGAAAAAATACAAGATTTGAAGAAGGGGAGCTGTGGCATTCACTGGGTTAGGAACCTCCCGGAATCCCATACGGGACAACTTTTCCCCGAGAAAAGGAAGTTCTGATGAAAATTACGTAGTAATGGGGCGCCAGGGTGGCTCAGTCCGTTAAGCCCCTGTCTTCGGCTCAGGTCATGATCCCAGGGTCCTGGGATCAAGTGCCGCATCGGGCTCCTGGCTCATTGGGGAGCCTGCTTCTCTCTCTCTGCCTCTGCCTGCCACTCTGCCTGCGCTTGCTCTCTCTCTCTGACAAACAAACAAATAAATAAATAAATAAATAAATAAAAATTATGTAGTAAGTTTATTATGAGCTAGGCTGAATCGTGTGGGTTACAGAGAGGATCCTGCTGCCCCAGATGGCCAGTCTAAATGTGATAGAGTAGGGAGCCCAACTCAAGACTGATTTGAGTTTGTCAGGCTCTTAGTGGCCTTGACACTGAACTGAGACACCTTAGTCTATCACATCCACAGAGGGCTCTGTCATCCCTAAAAGATCAGATGGTATCTTTGATACAGTTTAGAGTCACTCACTTAGTCAATCATGAGGATGTCTCCTTCTATACTCATTGTCCATCACTGATGAGTAAGAAGACAGGAGCCCAGTCTCACCTAGATTCGTGCTACCTTTCTCCAAGGTTGTGCCCTGTTGGGAAAGGAAGGGGCCAGAAGCTTCATCACCACAAAGCACGGCACTCACACATATGAGCCAGAAAGAAATATCAGACACAGATGCTGCCTTGCAAAACCTCCAGTCACCAGGAAAATCCTGCAGCATTTGCAAGGCAAGACAGCGATCAGCCTTATTTCTTAAGGAAGGACAAAGCCAGCACCATCAGCCCCAGAGAGCAAGCAGAGTTCAGGACAACACAAAGCCCGTGAGGCCAGATGTGTTTCAGAAAACAGAATTCTTAGAAATGGAAAGTTGGCTGAGAGTTTCCAGTATATATTATGTCACACGGCTCACCACCCCGTGATCAGACACATTGTTATTTCTGCAGTGGTACCAGGGAACACTCATATTAGATGGGATATGTAAAAACCACATATAGCTCCAGGGATCCCAGTTCAAGTTCACCACCAAATGAGTTCTGGTCAGTCTGACTTTGCTTCCAGAAGCGGTCCCCTCGAAAAGCTTGCAGTTTTCAGAGTTTTTTGGATTTCAGAATGTATACATGCATTGTTGTCCTGTGACCTACTGCAGGGCTCTGGGTTTATTTGCTCTCCGTGGAAACCTCCGAGATTAGTTACATCTATACATTTCTTCTTAATAACAAACCAACTGTCTCCAATGCTCTATCATCACAAAGAACCAAATCAAAGGCACATACCTATGTGAGTAAGAGTATTTCGTGAGCCTTAACTCAGGCAAAGTTTATAGAAACGCCCTCCTTATAGGAAGGTTGGCATCTCTGAAAAAACTCCATTTGAATCAAGCCCAGAGTTGATTAACTCATGAATGCAAACTCACCACAGCTGACCGGCTGGCTGAAGGCTAGTCCCGGGTAGTGTCCTCGTTGAAAAACAGCCCTAGTAAAGTCTATTCCATCCTAGCAACTGATCCTGCATATCCTACAAGGCTGTTTTATTCTATAGGATTAGTATTTATTTTTATATACTTTTTGCATTCATTTACTCACATTGATATTGGCTTTAAAAATAACACAAGGCCATCTGTAGAATGTAGACTCTTCCATATTTTAGTCATAGTCTTAATAAACAATTGTTAAATGTTTACATCACATAATTCTACAAATTTCTTTTAGTTTCTATAATTAAATGAATATATTATTTTTATTTTTTAAAGATTTTATTTATTTATTTCACAGAGAGAGAGAGATCACAAGTAGGCAGAGAGTCAGGCAGAGAGAGAGGCGGAAGCAGGCTCCCTGCTGAGCAGAGAGTCGATGTGAGGCTCGACCTCAGGACCCTAAGACCATGACCTGAGCCGAAGGCAGAGGCCTAACCCACTGAGTCACCGAGGTGCCCCAATATATTATTTTTAAAAGAATACAGGGTTCAAGCTAAAAGTTGAGAAGACAGAGAATAGCAGAGCTCTTTACAATTTTTCTGTAATCCCGTTACTCATAATAAACACTCTCCTCATTTTTAAGAGAGAGAGAGAGACTGTTCTAGACACTGGGCATATAGCAAGGAGCAAAATTGAGAGGTTCCTTTCCTTTGCAGGGCTTTGGGATGGAACAAAATTAAATAAGCAAGCAATTAAGCCAGACATCTGTGGATAATGTTGGGCTTTATACAGCCTTACACTCTTACACTCACACATGCACATTCTGAAAACCTTAATTTCTTTTGTTCACACACCTCATCCAACCAGCCGGTAAATCCTATTATCTTCACTTTTTAAAACTTATCCAGAATCCAACCTCTTCTCTCTACCCCCATTGCTGCCCCACTGGATCAAACCACCATCACCTCCCAACTGGTCCTCCTGGTTTTCTTCCTTTTCCAAAGTCTGTTCGCCACCCCAAAGCCAGATGACCCTCTCAAAATCACGAGTCTGCCAGGCCACTTTTATGCTGGAATCCTTTCTTTTTTTACTTTTTATTTCTCTTTTTTAAGATTTTGTTTTTAAGTAATCTCTACACCCAACATGGCGCTCACACTCACAACCGTGAGATCAAGAGTCACATGCTTTACGGACTGGGCCAGCTGGGCATCCCTATGCTTGAAACCTTTCAAAGTCTTCCTGTCTCACACCAAGAAGTCCAGTCCTTATATATGAAATATGTGTCCTATAAAATCAGGCACCCCAAACTCTTTCTGGCCTCACTGGCATCTTACACATCAAACCTTCTGCTGTTGCCAGAATTTGCTGGGCTTGGACCTTACCTTGTTGAGATTTTCATAAGCTCTTTTCTCTAAGCACCCTATTTTATTTTATTATCGTATTTTTGTGGTGATAACATTTAGGATCCACCCTCTTAGCAATATACAATATGATATTGCAGTAACTTAGATCTCCAGAACATATTCACCTTGCATCACTGAAACTCTGTGCCCTTGACTGTCATCTCCCTATTTCCCCCTCCACTCCCCCAGCCTTTGGTAACTACCATTCTACTCTCTGTTTACAAGAGTTGGACTATTTAGATTCCACATGTAAGTGAGATCACGCAGTATTTGCCTTTCTGCATCTGGCTTCTTTCTTTCTTTTTTTTTTTTTAAGATTTTATTTATTTGACAGAAAGACACAGTGAGAGAGGGAACACAAGCAGAAGAGTGGAGTAGGGAGAAGCAGGCTTCCCACTGAGCAGGGAGCCCGATGCGGGGCTCCATCCCAGGACCCTGGGATCATGACCTGAGCCGAAGGCAGTCCCTTAACCAACTGAGCCACCCAGGCACTCCCTGGCTTATTTCACTTAACAGAATGTCCTGTAGGTTTATCCCTGTTGTCACAAATGTCAGGTTTCTCATCTTTTTAAAGACTGAATAGTATTCCATTGTGTGTATATACCACATTTCCTTTTTCCTGTTCATCCATCAAAGGATATATACATTGTTTCCATATCCTGGCTATTGTGAGTGGTGGATAAGCATCCTATTTCAAAGCTCAATTCCTACTCTCTATCAGCCTTCTCGGCCTTATTTTTCCAATAGCAGTTATCTCCGTATTACATATATTGTATTCTGCTTCTTTATTATCTATTTCCTTGATCCCCACCCCCCAACCAGGATGCTGTTGCATGAAGACTGGGGTTTTCTTTGTCACTGCCTAGAACAGGACTGGGCACATTGTAGTAGAAGCTTGATACCTCTCGAGTAATGAATACATGTATGCTTTCAAATACATATGTATCAACTAGAACCAGTTTTCAAAAATACTTACCTCAGTTGGTTTTATACTTCAGGGGACAAGCTAATGTCACAGAAATACTGTTCACAGAAATT